TGTGGGGCGTGTAAGAGAGAGCCAATCAATGAGTCTCTCTCATCATTGATGTTTCTCTCTCCCTCTTACTTCTCTGAAATCAATTAAAAAAAATATATATATTTATAATTCTTCTGTTCAGATTTTATTGCTCATACAGATCCTTATACTGTATCATGAACAGGAAGGAGAAGAAAACAAATTACAAAGCACAGAACATAGACTGTGCCTGCAGATTTGCCACGTTACCATGGGCCTCAACAGAAAAAGCTCACCAGCCCAGAACATGCCTTTGGTAAGCATGGGTGGAATGAAGAGTTGGGGGATAAGAGACCCTCCTTGCAGGTCAGGGACCCAGGGAGGCAGTGTGACATGGCGAGGATGTGGACACAATGAAATTGGCAGAGAGTTCTTGGGAGCGGAGGAGACTGAAGCAAAGCCCTGGGGGTGGGAAATGGTGACTCCTTTTGGGTGACAGCAGAGAATCCGGTTTGGGTAACACATGGGTGTAAAGGAGGGATCCACAGAAGCTAAGCAGAAGGGAGCAGTTACCATGAAAAGACCCTGAAGCTCCTGAAGGAACCTCTGGGCGGGAGTCAGAGCTGTTGGAGGAAGTGTAGGGTGGTGAGGAAAGGGTGGGAGAAGGGGCCTGAGGCAGGGAGACTCTGGACTTCTTGTCATCACAGGGTAAGGGCCAGAGGCAGGTAACAATGGGATGAGAACACAGGATGCCAGTGAACTGGACATTCCAGAGTAACTTACCTCGGAGCCCCCTGCCCCTACCACCTACCACCCACCTGCAGTGCTACCTCCACAATGTCACAGGTTCAGAAAACAGTCTCTGCTATGACATCTTCTCTATCACACAGTGAAAATTCCTACACTGTGGAGTTCCCAGCATGTGCAGCCATAGCAACAATAGCCAGGCCCTTAAACCTCATTCCAACCTTGTGAGGTAGGTACTGTTTGTGTCCTCATTTTACAAATAAAGAAACCGAGGCACAGAGAAGCAAAACAACCTGTTCCAGATCAAACTGTCCCAGGGAGAGGACCAAGATTTGAAGTCAGTCTGAGTCTGGCTCCAGGGTCTAGGGTCTAGGCTCTAGGTGCAGAGGGTGACTGGGCTGAGCAGGTCCTTTAGACAGCAAGAGGGAGGAGTAAGTGAACTCACCTGTACTCAGTGGTGCGCTTTGCATTCACCATCTCACACTGGACCCTGAGGAAAGGTACGCTCATTTTGCAAACCTGTCAAAGAACTTAGAGACCCAGCATTTGCTCAACGTTGCTTGGGTTGAGTAAGGGGCAGAGTTCCTAGCTAACTAGTCAGGTAAGGGACTGTGAGTGCTGGAAATATCCATCAGGGCATGTGGGGGCAGAATTTGAGAAGTGTCCCCCCTGTGCAGGCAGGTGGAAGAGGATCCGGAAAGGCCACTGAAGGTTGCTGGGCCTACATGCCAGTCAAGGAAGTGGCCAGAGCGGAGCTCTGTTGGGGGCCTCCTAAGGGGTAGGAGCCAGAAGGACGACCCCAGCCCTTCTAAGGAATGAACCCTTAGAAGGAATGAACCCTTCTAAGAAGTTTGGGGGACACCTACAATCACATTCTCATTGGGTCAGTGAATTTTGCCCCATTTTGCAGCCGAATGGATGGTGGAGCTCCACAGGGCGCTTCTCAGATGCCATCCTTTGAGGCTAAGTCCTACAGCACCCACACCTGTTAAACTACAGAAAACCATAAGATCCCCCTTGATGGCACATACAAGAATCAACCAATAAATGCATAAATAAGTGGAACAACAAAGCGATGTTTCTCTCTTGCTCTCTAAAATAAATAAAAAATTAAAACCTTTTAGCAGAGTTAGTATTGCTTTAGTTAGCAGGTGGCATTAACAACAGGGCGTGGGGGCGGAGGGTGGGGGCAGGAAAAATAGGTGGGAAGAAGCCTTCCTGGCTGATGCACCCAGTACAGTCACCAGGTGAAGAGCTTACATTCAATGTGCCAGAATCTGCCAAGGGTGGCAGTGGAAGGCAAAGCTGGGCTGCTGGAATCCCAATTTGACACAAGGTATCAGAGATAGTTCTCAGGCTGGGAAAACATTTAATGGGGCTGTTCCAGCCACTGCAGCAGATACTGGCAGCGACTTCACTTCTTTCCCAGCCTTCCTTGCAGCTAAGGATGGCTACACGAGGACCTGACAGAGGTGATGTAAGCTGGGGTTTTCTGGGAAAGCTTTGATCCTGACAAGTCTCCTATCAAGACAGATTGCCTTTGCCCTTGCATTCTTGCCTTCCATGTGGGTATAATGCTGGAACATCTTGTGACCATGGGGACAAAGGCCCCAATGCTAAGAGTGATGAGGGAAAATAGAGCCGAGCCCCTGCTGGCATCATGGAGAACTAGAACCCAGGCCAGCAGGCAGCTGCATACGTGCCCCCTTCAGTGAGGGAAAAACATTCATCCTTTAAACAGCGGGTCCATTTTTTGCTACTTGTAGCCAAATGTGTTCTTATTTAACACAACAACACGGGGGCCTAATCTGCCTCACAGTGATTCCCGCTTTCCCATAAACCGAACAGCAAGTGGGGAAAGTTCTAATTTCTTGACATTTCTTCCAAGATTATCTTTGAGTATAATTACAGGCCTTTTCCCACTTCACACAACCCAGGGCCCGGTGGGGTCCTAGCCATTTTTGAGGTCTGTAGACTCTCTCTCCAGAAGGTGCCCAGGTTAAGCAACCCTGCGACCATCCTGCAGCAGAGGAGGGGTCCCACAGAGCTGGGGCTTGGAGAGTAGAGGCTGCACACCTGGACCAATGGCCAGGGCACTTTAAGGAAACTCCTTTCATCTCATCTGGAAAAGGCTTTGAGAGGCCCACGGAAATGAGGGCCTGTATTCTGGACCTACATGGAAAGAATCTGTTCTGTGTATAAAACTGTAATGTGACAGCCCTGGCCGGCTAGCTCAGTTGGTTAGAGTATAGTCCTGACATGTCAAGCTTGCGGGTTCCATCCCTGGTCAGGGCACATACAAGAATGAATCAATGAATGCATCAATAAGTGGAACAACAAATCCAAGTTTCTCTCACTCTCTCTCACATCAGTTAAAAACAACAAAAACTGTAATCTGACAAAAAAGCAAGACCCATGTGCACATCCATCCCTGTGTATGAGTCATTTGCAGGCAATGTCTAATACACCACAAATACTCAGTTCTGGGATACAGCCTTAGGCTCTGTTGGATTTCAGCCAGTATCTAATTCAGATAAAGTTCTGGATAAATCTTGGGCTATGCAAACACTCCCTTTTCTAGCTGTGAAACCCAGGGACCTGCATGGAGCTAGCTAGTGTGATACACTGTTCCAAATCTGGGAACTGGAGAGATGCAGACAGCAAGAGATACTCCTAAATGACTAGCTTTGATGAATCTACCCATTTGATTTTAACTGGGAGGTCATCCATTTTTCTAAAGCAAGTCTGTATTACATTTGATTTTTTTTTTTTTCTACTTCAAGTTAGTATATTAACCCTATGCACAAATTTTGGCCACGTTGATCCTGCAACACGTACCTGTCTTCGGGAAAGGAGCTTGTACATTTCTGTCTGCATCTGCAAAGGGGTTAGCAACAAAGCTTGAACAACTTGCTAACAGACTCCAGAATCAGTGCCTCTGCCCAAGGGGATGGAGGTGACACGGGACCAGAGCCCTGAACCTTGTTGTCTTCACTTGTGATTTTTAGCAAATTGATTCCTATCAAATCAGTAATCTCTTCTTTTGGCCAATTTAACTAGCCCTCTGGGTTTTATTCTGCATTGTTGGTCCTTTTATTCATAACTAGGCATAAAACACATGAACTTCTCCTCCCCTATGCCTCCGGGTCAGCTTCTGGAAAGGCTACTCATCTACTGCTGAGGTGGTTCTCTCAATTTTACAAACTTTAACACTAAATAAATCTCAGATGCCAACATACTCTGAATGAGTTGCAAGAAAGACAAAATCTGTTATATGAGGCTGTTCTGGTAAGACCATGATTTAATTACCTATGACACAGATACATTACATAATGGCTCCAAATTAATAGTCTAGCAAAGATTAAAGAAAAACAGATGAAAATTTGTGAATCCTTAATTTTAAGTGAGCTTCCGGCAAAACAAAAAATAGAATCAGGGGTTAGAATCGTTTCAAATTGTATGTCCAAAACTAGCACCCTTCACCATCTGTCTTTTATTCATTTTGCTGTGATACAACTAAAAAGGCCCATAAGTACTCCCCTGGGTCTCAGGTAACAGTTTTCCAAGAGCAAAATATCACTTTCTCTGTACAGTGAACGCTGGCATTTGGATGGGCTGGATCGGGTGGACGGGCTGGAACACTGGCTTCTTTCTCATTTCAGAGAGTGTTTTCACTGTAGGGAGCAGCTGATTCCTTTTGATGATCTGTAAGGCCAGCTGGGTATTACCTAAAAAACACTTCCCATTAAAAAAAAAAAAAGAAAAAAAAGAGCATACAACAATACCACCACATCTAAAGCAAGCCACTGGAATCTGCGAGGGGGTAAAGATGTTCTGGAAAAGCAGGGGTCAGCCCCTCTGCTATCCTCTGGAATCACATAATGCCTCCGTCCCAGCCCCACAGGGACGTGTGTGACCTGGGCAATGGGATTTTTTTTTAAGCTCTGCAGTGATGCTCAGGTATAGCTCAGGTTGAAAACTTATTTACAGGCAGAATGCACAGAAGGGATCTAGAACCATGCACTGACCCTCATCATGCCTTTCAGGAGGCCATGATTAGTGCCAGGCACTTAACGCCCCCTCTTCAGCTATAAAGAAGGGAACCTTGTAAGGATTCCCATGACCCACAAGGTCTGACTTTCAACTCTATTTCTGTCTCTTCTAATTTCTCCCATTCACATATCTTTTCTACTTCATGTTCTCTCTTACGTGGGACCCATAGCCTTTCTTGCAGGGAGCCATATCCTTGAGGTTATCTATACCCCAGAAGTGTAAGCGGTATTTAGGACTGTCTAAATAATTCTCAGCAAAAACTGGTTTACTGCAAAACTCATTAATGATATCTGTGTTCAAAGTACTACTCAGATGTACAACTCAGAGCCAATGGCATTCTGACTCATGACTCAATTAGAGTCATTTGGCTGTCTAAGAGAAAGGTTAATCAGTAGGGATTACATTATAATTAAGTGTCAGAAGTTATGCTATTTCACATTTTCACAGATAAAAGGAAATACACTTAACTTGCAAGGAGGAGGAGTCTGCAAAATATCAAAAATTCCCTAGCTACATTTTTTGTTTAGAAGACCCTGATGCGTATGTAGTATCTTCAAGGAAGGCAAAGTTCTAATTTCAAAGAGAAAAAAGCAAACCCCAGTAAGAAGAGGAGGAAAGCATTCCTTACCATTCTGCAGTTCAAGATAGACTGCCAGTAGGATGGCTTCAGGGGGTATCTCTTTAGGATGGATCATTGAAGCCGCCTGTGCTCAAAACAAAAAAGTCACCAGTGAAACCAGCAGCTTAAGATGCAAATGCTAAGTAATGCCAAAACAAACAAACAAACAAACAAAAAGGATGTCAGCCTACCAATGACAAGTTAGCAAACTTATTGAAGCTCATTCCCACATGACCTCCCAGGGACCACTATAGTTCTGCTCTGATGGCTCTCAGATGCCTTTGTCTTGATCCCTACCAACGAAACCAGACATGTAATTTTTAGTTAAATATTGGTTTTCCCTTGCCTAATCCATAATAAGGTCTTCAGAGGGGAAAGCCTTTCTGCCCCCTTGGCTTTCACTTGTCTGGGTTCTTCTATCTCCAGGCTATATTCAGTTTTGAGAGTTAGACCCTCCTGACTCCACTCACCAGCTTTCCACCACACATACACTGGCACTTGAGTAAAATCTGCATGCCCATTCATCTTCCTACGTAACAGGTCAGGACTGTAACCTGCAAGTTCCCAACGTTAGGAACAGGAATTCCATCTTAAAAGCTGGCGATATAGGCCTGGTCGGTTTCTCAGTGGTTAGAGCACTGGCCCTTAGGCTGAAGGGTCTTGGGTTCCATTCCAGGTAAAGGGCACATACCCTGGAAGCAGGTTCAATCTCCCCTGCCCATCCCCCCTCAGGAGCTTGAAGGAGGCACGAACTGATGTGTCTCTCACATGTCCACGTTTCTCTCTCTCCCCCACCCTCTCTCTCCCCCTCTCCCTCCCTTCCACTCTCTCTAAAAACCAATGGAAGAAGTACCCATGGGTGAGGATTAAAAAAAAAAAGGCCAGCGATACAGAAAATAGCATACCACTATGCCTATCATGTCTCCACTCTTAAGGACTAAACTACGATTTAGTCAAAATAATTTCTTTGCTCAAGCAAATGCTGTCCTTCCCCAGATCCAAGATCCATTACCAGCCAGCAGCTTCTCTCTGACCTGGTCCTTAGAAAAGGAAACCTGGACTGCTCTGGACAAAGGTGCTGAGGTTACAGGTTTATTTCCTCAGCCCTGGCCTCTCTGGGCTGCAGCCTTTCTGAAACTTACCACGGACTCATATCTCCCCATCCAGTTTCAGGTCCTCGTGCTCCCAGTCTGCTTTGCTTCTTCCCTTACCCTAACCAGAAAGTGTACTTCTACAAATATTTACTGACCAGATAATAAACAAGCATGTAAATAGTTGACAATCACACTAACCAATTTACCTAAATGCCAGGGAGAGAGGAAAGGGAATGTACTGTGAATACGGAGAGAAAAAGGCGTTTCTTTTGATGGACAGCTTCCAGGCGAGGGAAGCCTGCCCTACTCCTTGCAGGTTCCGTATGTGACAGGCAGAAAATGGGGAGAAATGGCATCGCAGGCCGAGGTGTGACTGCGGGAGCTGTCCTTAGGTCCAGACACTTGCCCAAGTTCAGTTCCTGGCAGCATTAGGAGAAACCTCGGACGAGTGGGGATTCCTGTCCAGAGCACAAGCTCCCGAGTTCCTCGGGAATGAAGCAGGGAGCTCTCTGTTCCTCCCACTACATTACTGAGGGGAAACAACTCCGTCCAGAAAAGGAGACTTTATATTTCCAGTCCCATCTTTTATATATATATATTTTATTGGTTTCAGAGAGGAAGGGGGAGGGAGAGAGAGAGAGAGAAACACCAATGATGAGAGAGAATCCTGCACGCCCCCCACTGGGGATTGAGTCCGCAACCCGGGCATGTGCCCTTGACTGGAATCGAACCTGGGGCCCTTCAGTCCGCAGGTCGATACTCTATCCACTGAGCCAAACCAGCCAGGGCAGGCCCATCTTTATACAGGCAAGCTCACCATTACAGCATTTTGTGAATATTAAATTCTCCATTTTCCCTCCAACTGACCACTAACATTGGTCATTTGTTATTCTCTGCATTGACCACAGTCTGCAGCTTTATCTATTATGAGACTTAATGGTGTTTTGCTTACTCACTGTTCAGAACGGTCAGGGGTGGGCAGGCAACCTCAGAAACATATACTCAGGAGCCCTTTCCAACCCTTCACATCACTGTTCTGCCCTCCCAGGCAGGGTGGGCCTCCCAATTAACAAAGGTCCAGCCACTGGATTAACCTAAAAACCCAGGGACCAAAACAAACCTCCGTCAGACCCCGAAGCAGGCCATGTGTGTCTCCCAGCGTGGCAGCCGCCATGGCCACCTGCTGCATGAGAACCTGAGCTGGACCGTACACGCTGTAACTTTAGATCACAAGCCCTGTTTGCTGCTGTCATCGGGGTCCACCAGCACTCTCAGAGGGCTGTTAACCACTCTTGCCTTGCCACTGAGAACAGTGAAACATTGGAACTCATACCCATTTAACTCCTGTCCTCAACTCCTAGATAACATCGAACGTGTTTCCCTGGATAGTCCATCACTTAGCTGTTCTGATTCTGGATCAGAGGTGCTGACCAGATGCCACTAAGTTGACTAAGCATCACTCCTGGTTATTTTCTGCATGGTAAGCCCAACACTGCTGGACACACCAAGTGGCCTTCATGGGAAGGAATCTTCCGAAGCCACCATATCCCGAGAATAGGTTCAATTTCAGTTACTCTGACAACATCTGAGGATGTGGGCTCTCTCATGTGCTGCTGGTCAATATGTCACTTGGCACAAACTTTCCATATTAAAAACCTTAACATCTGTATACCCTTTGACTCTGTAATTCCCCTTTTTAAATAAGCCCTTATTTAGATGGTTTGCAATATATTTTTTTAAAATCCTCACCTGAGGATATGTCTTTATTGATTTGAGAGAGAGACGGAGGAAAAAGGAAGGAGAGAGGAAAGAGGAGAGAGGAGAGAGAGAAGAGAGAAGAGAGGAAAGAGGAGAGAGAGAGAGAGAGAGAGAGAGAAATGTTGATGTGAGAGAGAAACATTGCCCTGATCAGGGATCAAACCCGCAGCCTTGGGTATGTGCCTTGACCATGATGACCCTTCCATGCATGGCCCAACACTCCAACCAAATAAGCCATACTGGCCAGGGCTGGTTTCCAATCTTTTGAAATTTAAATTATTAAAATCATCAGAAAAAAACTCTCCATTAAGTGCCTAGGTCCATTTTCTTTCTTTCCTAATCAAGTTCTAAGTTCATTTCAATACTGTTCAGTTGTTTACCTTGCACGAATATCTCTAAGCTTGGAAAATAATATTCCAATGTTTAACCAACTCCCCAGGAGCCTCAAACAAAACAACAAAGCCCACACTCCACACCTTTGCTGGCTGCTTTACAAGAAGCCTGCACAGCCCTCTCTGCCTCACCTGGTGCAGACACTTGCGGGCTTTGTCGTACTCGCTCCTCAGGCAGTAGGCGCTGCCAAGGTTAAACAGCATCACGGTCCTGGCAGAGTTGACGGAACTGGGGTAGCACTGAGGGGCCCGCTTCCCAGCTGGGGAAAAAGCACAGACACTGGTGAAGAGGTCAGGCCAAGGGCCCGGGAGCAACCCAATCCACTGCCCAAGAGCCGATCCAAACAAAGCACAGCTCTGCCCCTCAGACTGACAAATGAAGGACAGGAAGCTGGAGTCTAAGTCTTTGGGATGCAGGCCAGGCTACTTAAGTATTTACAAAACTTCTCACTTACAGGATTCCATTGCTTCATTTTCTCCTTTGTCTGATCCTGCAAAGACATGAAAATAAATCTCAGGAAGCAGGGTATATATCCTAAGAACCTAATTTTCTTTATGAAATGAAAATCCAAGGTCCCAGCAATTGTTATTTACTTCTCTTGGAGTAGAGGTTCTATTAAAAGACACCAAAACTCAACCACCACCTACCACCCCGTGCCTGAGAAATAACCTTATATCAAGTGGATGCCAGTCTCACTCCTTCAAAAAAACTTAGCCATGATTCAAAACGATAGATCTAACACTATCAGCCTTTTAAAAGTAAGAATTTAGACCACATGATAACCAACTCCTAGGTCTACTTAACAATTACTTCAAAGGCAGTACAGCTAAAAATGTAGATAGCCACCTAAAACTTCCTTCCATTTACAACTGTGCCCTTAAATTTCCACACATCCTGAGTTACAACAGGAAGGAAGTGGAAATGGTGACCACTTCTGATCAAATGTGTCCTCATTAACCTTGGTCCTGCTCATTTGAAGAGATCCCTAAGGAGACATCAGTGACATTCTCCGGGTTCAAGTGAGTAATGGCATCAGATATTCTGTCCAGAGAGATGAGGGCTTCTGCAGCATATAAATGACCCAAAAACCTAAAGTTAAAAAGAAGAAAAACAAAAAAAACGGCTTTCAAACTGAAAAGGAGATCACCACAAAAATACCCAATGTATAAGAGTTGGTATATGTTACATATATTCAAGTCCTGGAACTGATATCTAAGTTTATAAATGGATAATTAAGGGTCACTTAAATGGTATCTCTTTAAAACAATCTTAAAATATACAATAATTGCTCTGGCTGGTGTAGCTCACTTGGTTGGGTGTCATCCCATGAACTGAAGGTGGCAGGTTTGATTCCTGGTCAGGGAATGTGCCGGGGTTGCGGGCTCCAACCCCTTTTGGGGGCGTGCAGGAGGCAGCTGATCAATGTTTCTCTCTCTCCCTAAAAAACAATTAAAAAAAATCTTTTAAAAATATACAATAATTTTTATATTAACTAAGTAGGGACAAATTACATATATCAATTAAGAAAGCTCAAAATTGGCAAATTTATGCTGTTCTATTTATACAGAAAGTAACATTAACATAAGAAGGTAACGAGGCTCTAAAATGAGAGGCAAGTCCAAGGAGGAATGCCCATCGAGTGAAGATTCAGAACCAGATTGCTCCAGTCTCTGTTGCCAGAAAAGCCAAAACACACCAGAGCGCCAGACCAGACTGAGACCAGATTTCAGTTGCATCGACTCTACTTCCATTCTAAAGGTTTCTGCTTTTCTGATCATCTATTTTATGCCCACTGATGCCAGAGCAGATGCACATCCTCCTGGGTTACCATAGCCGCTTCTTCCAGTCTCTTACCTTGAGCCATTTTCCCCACGATGCCCTGATTTATTTTTCAAAATGAAAACATGCTTAGACATATTACACCTTTGCTCAAAATCTTAATGATTTTTTTCTACACGAGAACAAAATAGACGAAGCTAAACTTTTATAGATTTAAAGCTTCCACAGTTTGGTCCCACTGTCGTTCATCCGGTCAATATTCTTACTCCCCCAAAGATTCCCCTGTTCCTACCAAACAGTGTCTGGGCAGAGCACGCCCACTGCTCCCGGGTGGCCTTGCCTTCCTGGGCTCAAAGCTGGACCTCAACTCCACAAGCCATTACCTAACTCCGCCTTTAAAAGGGCCAGCTCAGGTCTCACCTCCTCTAGCTAGCCTGCCCCAACTGGGGTTGGGGGTGGAGGGTAGGGGAGGGAGGAAGGGACATGCTACAAGTGAAAAAATTTCACTATTAAACATGAAATATATACCAGTTGCTTTCTCTTAATAATATATATTCATTCCAATTGGGGAGTAAAAAAAAAGCAATATGCACCACAAACTAACTGAAAACCTCCCAACAAAACAAAGCAGGGACACACAGGGCAAGTCACACTTACTTAAGAGATCCTGACAGCTTGGGCTGCTGAAGAAGTTTATCTGCGTGATTCAAAGCCATAAGGTTATCACCCAAAGCCAGAGCCACGTATGCACTACAGGCCAGGATGGAGCATCTGCAACATAAAAGGGGAGGGCTGAAAACCCGAGTTACAAAACTGACGATGGTTACATCTGCTAGATAGGAAAGAACACCCTAGTTATGACTGTGACAATCTGGACACCAGGAAAGCAGAGAGGAAGCCACAATAGTAATGGAAAATGCTTAGAATGATGTATCAAACTTCGGTCTGAAGCACAGTATAGCTATTTCCCTAAATAAATCATCTTTGGCTTCCATCCAACTGACCCCCATCTCCAACAAGTTAACCAAATAGAGTTATGATATATATATTTAGATATTTAGCCTGTAAAAAAATACTGTAGTTAATGGCTTATTGAGAACTTATTTCCATAGAACATTTCTTTTAACATCCTAGAAATAAAGCTATAGAAGCAGATGTTATTCTTCCTATATTTGAGATTTTGCTAAAAAACACAGTCCACTTACAAAAACCCATTAACTTAGCTACTGTAAAAGGCCCTTCTCTGAGCCTATTAAGTAGTCATAGCTCTTGCTAAGCAACAACAGAAAAAGTAACTAAAGTAATTTCAGTTACACAGATACTATTATCCTAAATGAATATTCAAGAAAAAAACCCAGGCTGAATAAATACATGTGAGAATAAAAAAATTAAGTTACACTTAATTTTGCTAAGTTGGGCGGGAAACCCACATTTCTGTTTGGTTTTCTACTTAACGTGTGGCTCATTTAAAACAGCTCTAGCTGAAGACTTGACACTAATAGATCACTCGAATGTTAAACAACCGTTCCACAAAGCAATCTTAAAATAAACCCTTGTCAAATAGAAATGAAGTCTGAATGGCCGGCCGCAAATGACCTGACTCAGATACAGGGTTCTGAGTTATGTTTACAAATTACAATACATATGTATATCATTAAGTGCATTTGGGTTGTAATTTCAGTCTAAGGAAGAACGTAACCGTATCACCGCTGAGTTTTCTAACACTCTGAAATCCTCTGACTAGAAATGGCCCTTTTTAGTAAAAGCCCAGCTGGGCCAGTTGGAGAGTACGCTGCTGTTTCCTCTCACTGGCTCACTCCTGGCTGCCGGAACCTCAGAAAATTATCTACTAAAGGAAAAGGAGCCCCTCAACTTTGAACAACACAGAAGAGTAGACGGGTCCCAGAGAAGGCAAAAGTAAATTGAGATCTATGGCCTTAGGCTGCAGTGGTAGGACTTAAAGACTGCCTAATGCGGTTCCTTGTTTTACCAATGGAGAAACTGAGATTCAAAGTAATTAAATACACTGTTCTCTAGCTCAGAGGGTGTGTTTGAGTCAGGCTAACAAGTCAACACTGTGGACTCCCAACTCACTGCTCTCCCCAACCTATTCTCACTCCTTCTCTATCAAGTCCCAGGACTGCCCTAAAAATAAAGTAGAATGATAAGATTACATTATGATTTGTCTATGCACATATTAACTTTGCATATATCTGTACCTGCTGTCTTTTTAAAAAGGAAGAGAACAATTTAACCCAGATATTACAAGTTTAAGTATTGTTACTGAGCACGTAATTGAAAATCTGAGAATTTAAGAGCAGGCAAGTAGTGCCGCTTCCTGAGGGGTTTCCTTAACAAACCTACTGTCAATATCCCTCTATCTCCAAGAGCTGTCCTCACCAGCAAGACCACCCCATGACTACGGCCCTGGGGGATCCTCTTCCTGACAGAAGACTCACAGGCCCAAAGGAGGGAGGCAGTGGCTACTTATCTCCCTTTTTCAGAAGCACTGCAGTGGTTAGCTCCCGTGTAGGGAGATTAGGGAAATTTAATTTCCTCTGTTGGCTTACTTGTAGGTTTTATTTTACAACTAGTGGCCCGATGCATGAAATTCATGCACATTAAAAGGGAATTAATTAGAGGAAATATTTTAATATTGCTATTTGCCCTTTCTCTATAATAGAAGTATCTGGCCAGCCCCACCCCTATTGGGTGACACCAAGACCCACCTCCGCAGCTCCGTGCACACGCAGCCCCGCCCACCCGCACGCGCCCGCACCCGATCAGCACGCAGCCTCCTGGTAATAGATTGTGACAGCATGAGGGCATCACAGCGTGACGACCATTTATATATTAGCTCTTTATTATATAGGCTGGTGATGAACATTTAGTTATCAGCAATGTATGCATCGCTTTTGAAGAAGAAGGAAGACTTTGAAAGCCCTGGGTCAGGTGTTCCAGAGGCCTAAGAAGATCAACTCAGGGCCTATATGAATGAGAGTCACAGAGCGGAACACCCATTTTCATTGGTGACTTTGCCAAAGATGAGGACAAAACATAAGCTCCTGAAAAGCAGAAGCCCACATCTTTTCCCTCCACAAAGACAAGAGCAATTGCTCACCACCTGCGGTAGGTGTTTACAAGGTATTCACTGAAGACCACTGCTTCAATGCTTTCAATTTACTTCTCAGGCACCCAGAGCCACGCCTGTCCTGTTGTAGGTCACCCTGCTGACCAAGCCGATCCTTCCTGGCTGCCACAGTCAGGGGAGCCACGGAGAGTGCCCTGGGTCCCAGAGGCCAGGACGGCCTCTCCTCAGGTGGCTCGCTGGGAAAAGTCTGCCCTGGCCTCTCCCGACAGTAGGGGGCTATTACTGCTCCAGCCCACTGTCAAGCCCACTTTGGGTCCAGAAATCAGTCATGTAAGATTTGCAGCAAGGATTCTGTTTCCCAGGAAGTCCAAACGATAATAACATACAAGGTAAGTCTGTTAACTTCTGCCCCTTTCCCCATAAGATACCATTATCAAATCACAACGGGGTAAAAGATTCTAATAATAAAACAAGCTTTCTAGGAAAAAACCACACAAATATATGAATGCAAAACTTGAAGGCTGGCTTTCTGATAAAAAACACACATTAGGATTAAGCAAGTTCCACCGCATGAAACGCAAAGTCACATTTATGCCCCTCTTCTCTTAGTGCCTTACAATGGCCCCAACTCACTTCTCCTCACCCTCTCACTCAGCCTCCTTTTCCTCTGAGAAAACAGTCCTGTATTCTTCTGCACCATTCTCACAGACCGGGAACCCTGGAAATGTGCACGGCTTTATCTACTAAGCCCCTGGAGAACACACTTTACTTTTGATAGTTGCTACTTAAAATATTGACACTCCCTACCCCCTGCCCCCCTGTTTCCTCAAGTCACTGTCCAATCTGCTTACCAACCCCTCAGTGGATCTGACAGTTCAGCAGACTGGAAGGACTATACCTCAAGGGAAGAGACACACTAGCTTCTGCCCGCTGTGGAGGATCTCACACAATCCCACTCTCTCCTCCACACACTGGAGACCTGGCTCTAGGTCCACAGACCGCCAATCCTTGGAAAAGAAAAACATGAAGAAAGGAAAGAAAAAGGAAAAAAACTCCTTTTCTTAAAGCACCAAATTACAGCAACAAGCTATACAAGATTGGGCATTAAAATCTGTCAAGCCATATATCTCGTGAATTAAATATATCTAAAGCAAGTATCTAAAGTAGTTTAACCTTTATTAAAGAGAGGTTAGAATGGGGGGAAATTCAGGAAGTCACCATTTGTCAAAGGAAAATAAATTCACAAAGTGATCTCATAGCAAACATTGTTTGAGAACTTGACTGCAAAAATCCAGTAAGAGAAATTCTTCCAAAAAACTGAATATAGTATTGAATTTTTAAATGTAAAAAAAAAAAAATTCAAGCTGTTTCCATTTATCTGTAACCATCTAGAAAATGGTAAACCTGTCAACTTTCAACTCTTAAGAAAATTGAAAAGTTAAATTAGGTAAGTTTTTCACTTCATATCTTCTGTAATCATTTTGCTTTCCAATAATAGTTCTATGCAAAAAAAAAAAAATTTTTTTAAAAAATCTTACTGACAAACACACCCCAATCCAAAACAAATAGAAGCCCAGTATAAAGAAGCTGAAAAAGTTTTTCGTTTTAACCAAATCTAGCACATTGGAGAACCCAGTCCACCCCAGGCGGCAAATAAAATGCATAAAGTCAGAGATTTTATACGTGGACCTTATGATCACCCAACTCAATTTACTTATTGGACAGAAGAGAATAGTAAAGCCCAGAGGGAGTAAATGATTTGTCCGATGTCATCAGAGGCCGGGGGGGTTTCCACAGAGCGGCAGACCACTGAAGAATTATTCTAACCATGGCCTGTGAGGAATCTCATCACCAGTTCATCTAAATGAAATCTGGGACGCACATGTGAATCATACCAATCTGAGCACAAACTGCTGATAACACAAACAAAATGTCATACTTAAAAAAAAAAAAAAAAAGTCATACCTGCAGGCAGGTTTCTTTGGTTAGTTTATTAGATGGACAAGCTTTAGTAGGACCATACTCAGTTACAAGACTGAAATGGGGGAGATTCAAAAGATTATTAGCCATAATCCTGTTTTAGGTATGTCTTGTGAGGTACAATAGAACCACTAGGCTAAAACCAAAAGAAATGCGATTCCTTAAGTACACCAAAACTGCCCATGGTATTTGTGTTATTAACCATTTGTTTGATTCATTTCCTCTTATAAACATTGGGCCATGGGAAGTCCCTTTTCACGGAATGGGAAATAAAGAAGGTTCCACGATTTATGTTTATGAAATAACTGGGCTTAATTAAATTTGGTCTGAACATTTCCTTTTATCTATTTTTAAGCCTCTTATTTTTATTTTATTTTTTATTTTTTTTAAAAATATATTTTATTGATTTTTTACAGAGAGGAAGAGAGAGAGATAGAGAGTTAGAAACATCGATGAGAGAGAAACATCGATCAGCTGCCTCCTGCACATCTCCTACTGGGGATGTGCCTGCAACCCAGGTACATGCCCTTGACTGGAATCGAACCTGGGACCTTTCAGTCTTCAGGCCGACGCTCTATCCACTGAGCCAAACCAGTTTCAGCAAGCCTCTTATTTTTAAAAAGACAAATTGAAACTTCATTTTTATTTTGTATGCTTTGATTTCAATTTCTCACAGACATTTCCCACGTTAGTCTCAACA